GCTCTCAATGCTCTTGGTCTGAATTTTTTACAGGTCAGTCCTAAACCTGAATACCTGTCAGGTGCAGTTTGCATTTGTTTGTAGTGAGTCTTTGCACAGCAAAAAAAAAGAGGTTAAAATCCCCTCGCTTTCCTAAATCACAACCTGTCTCCCATATCTTCCTCCTCCACTATGCTCTTATCTTCAAGTAAGGAAAGAAGAACACATTTTCCACTCTGCTTAGCTCTTATTTTTTATTTTTATTGTCAAGGAGCACAACTCATCATTTTGGCATCACAGGAAACCTGTCAGGACCAGTTCTGGGGCATAAATCTGGTCAGTTTAATGGTATACGTGCCTCAAACTATTACCTACTTAGATCTCCAGTCCAAAAAAATCTGACTAGAGAATCCCATTTTGCTCAAAACCTTACATTGTACATCGAGCATATGTCTTAGCCTTCATCACAACTGAGCCCAATCCATGCCAGATGAGTCACAGGTCAGATCCCTGCAGGACCCTGAAGAAACAAAAGAAGAGAGTTATATACTGTATATATTCTGCAGCAGTTCACCGAGTATGCAGGCAGATGGGTCAAAGAATTTAGTATGCACCTGTGGACTTCTGGTCCTTTACATTGCATTGCAATTATGAAATTGTCACTTCTGTGAGAACAAAAGTCATATGTTTTCACATGGCGGACACTGTGCGGGTCCACCCTCTCACCTTTTTTTCCAACTGGTATCTACACATGGCCAACATAGACAAACATTCAAGGGCTTGTTTGTTGTACTTCCACAGTGACATGTAGGGAAGCCAATGTCTGCATACTTGAAGACAAATTTTACAACCCCCAAACACTCAGTCCAGCAAGCACATTAGCTCGGTGTGCAGATATGATAACAAGCAGATTTGACCTTCTTCCTTAAGCTCTGTATTTCACTTTTGAGTGTGGCCATTTGAACCACCTAAAAACAATTCTGCCTTTAGCTGTTTACAATGGCCAACTAGCTTGTTTGCAGAGGGCACCATTTCACACTATGTGACCACTTTAGCACTCTAAAATGCATCACATCTTCTCATTAATGCTCTCAATAGCTGGGAATCTTCCAAAATCACTGGTGTTCAAAAATGAATGTTTGGTGATGGGGTTAGGTTGTAGCTAGGCTCAGGTAGTTTGGGCTTGAATTAGCTTGAGCATGTTAGAACTGAATTGTCAGTAACTGTGGTCAATATCTGGGTAAGATAGACTTTAACTGAAATTTCAAAGGAGAGCAGGTCAAATAGGGCAAGACTTTCATGCATAAATGGATGAATACCCTCTGCAGCATCACCCCACCATCTACTAAACATGTTAGGCTACTTTCTCATTCAACCACAATGCCTCCCTTTGGATTGCTGGCTTGCTGTGGTTAAGACCAGGGCGATCATAAAGCAGTCAACTGTGCTGCTTGCTGCAATACTTACAGCTCCTTTGGTGTCCCTGTTTTATGGAAACCTCACCAGAATGCACGTTCTTCAGTGTGAATCTACCACAACCGTCTGTAATTGAAACACGTGATCCTGAAGGTGTAACCCCACTGCAACACTGTCAAAATACGAGAGAGAGAATTTACAGTGTTAAAGAAGCAAAAAAGACCTTTACTTTTAGCATAAGAATCTAAAGTGTGCACTAACTACTAATACTTTGGCCCAGGACTAATTACATGCTCAAATGCTGGAAAACAATGAATCTGATCAGACTTGTGAAATCAGCGGGTTCCTGTCTCCCTCATGAATATTTGCTTTAAGGAGCAGGAAGTGGCTTTCTGCCTGGCTCACGCTACACTGACATGTTGGAATGCCACATCAATGTTATTTGCAGCTGCACTGGGAACCCAGCAATGCCCCTCTTCACATCAGTGGCCCCAGAAAGCGTCTTTACATGAGTGCAAGTGTGGACTCGTGTGAGACAAGTCCAGCACATACGGTAGAGCTTTCATCTTCTATACAACAATCAGGGAGAACTGTGGAGTTTGCGCTGATGTCAGCTACTCTGAGTCCAAAGGAGATCAAGCTAAGGAGATTTAGATGAACTAAATGTAATGCAGCACAGAAAAAAGGAAAGAGACATGATGCAGTTTTCACCGTCTAGCCTTTGTCTAGTCAGAGATATACTGTTGTAATAAATTGTGGTAGCTCTGCTGATGCTATTTTGTGGATTTACATTAAGTCTGATATTATTTTATATTTAATCAAAGTGTCTGTTCACTATTTTTAAAACAGAAATGAGGCTGGGCATCCTGCCAAGCCTTTACTGTGCATATTGATTTAATATCAGTGAATTATAGTCAATGATTTCCTGCCACGGGTTGCTTCATTCATCTCATTTCTGTTTATTGCCTGGTTGTTTCTCAGAATTGATGACAGTCTGGAGGGAGCGAGGGACAGGCTGTATCTTATGGCTGCCTTATCCAATTTTTTCCACTCTTGCTAAGGTAAGAGGATGGGAGAGTCAAACAAACAGGCCTTGTGTTTTCACCCTGTGTTTGTATGCAGCACCATGGCCAGGCTTCCTGCCAAGCTCTCCTCCTCTTCTTCTCAAAGTGCAAAAGCAAAAGACAAACCCGAGCAACCACCACTGCCTTTACCTCCACCCCTGCTTCCCTCGCCCCCTCCTTTTATCTTTTCCCTCATCACAACACTGGCAAACACAAAAGGAGGCTGAGAGGCAGAGTCTGGGTGCACATCCCGTTGGACGCACCCAGATTAGGCCACGTCAATGATGAGGACAACCGGTCAAAGGTGAAGGCTGAGGATTTGAGGAGAGGAGCGGGAGTGGTTGTTATTTCACGGAGAAGTCTCCGTGCCCTTTGCCACTGAGTGAACGCCAGCTGGGACCAGGAGTGGCATCCTTTGCTTTCTCTGTTTTGGTTTTTATCCCATCTCTTGTGCTTTCAATGAGAGCATTGTATGACCTGGAGGAAGGATATGAGGTCCCAACTGGCTGTCATTGACATGTAAAAAGAGTGGTGGTGCCAGATGATGAGATCAGTGGCTTGTAATTAGCAGATTATGTTGAACAGACTCACTCCACCGTGTGAGAGCACCACACACACACACACACACACACACACACAAATCCAAAAAGATAGGAGCATCCACATATAAAGATATGCAAGATGTGTGGTATGAAAACTTGCTTGCCTAAAGGTAATATTATGAGTTATCTATTAGCCGCTGTGTGAGGTTTCACACAGAAACCAAGATTCTCTGAGTGGTAAAAATCTAAAGGTGTGAATCATGTGAACTGGCCTGGGGTGGCCCAAAGCCCTGCAGTGCTCAGGGGAGAGGTTTGGATGTACAGCTGTGACATTAATCCATGGGAGACACAGGTGTGATAAGCTGACTGTGAATAACAACTCATCACATCTCATAAATCAAAACCGTACTGGATGTGAAATGTACTATAGAGTGTTTTGATATGTTTTTAGGGTAGATCTCACCCAGAAAATAAAACTCTATAATGGAGATTCACTATAATCTAGGTACATTCCTTTGAGTAGAATACATTTAGAGGCTGGCTTTCATCTTTTTCAGGTATGTATTTTCAAATGACAGACAAAAATTCATACACATAGGACACACCAGCATCAAAAAATGACTTAAGCAGAATTAAGATATTCTTCAAAACAGGGCCACATGTGTTACCTTATCCAACTGTAATAGTAAAAATGAACTTAAAGTACCAGTTCAAGCAAATTTGAAAACTTTTTTACTTGAGTGTAAAAACAGACTATATAATCACTCTATATATCGCAAACTTGTTGCCATATGATTCCATGTACTGTAAATCAAAAACAATACTGATCTCAGTCTATGTTCTTATGCTATTATTCTCTGCTGTCCTAAAGGGCCTCTCACTGGAGGACACTGAGGGGTTACCCTGGTGATTAAGCTCTTCTTTCAAGCTTGGGTCTCATCTGAAGGTGGGCCTTCTCTTTGAGACAGAGGATCTGGGCTTGTGTCAAACCACCATAAGGGTCTCAGTGCTCGCTCAAAAACCTACCGATGACAATTTCTTTTAGGAGATGAGAAGAGCCTTCCCGCTGCAGAGCATGTCGACCTGTGAGACCGGCTCTGCCATGGGAACCTGTGGAAGCTACTAAAACCAGTGCCTCTTCAATCACCCTGCTTTCCAGTGGGCCCTTTGATGTCCTGGGATCTGGGCAGCTGTGGATATGGAGGCCTGAAGGGAGAGCTTGGAAAGTCACCAAAGAGGAGATGCAGACAGAGGCAGACAGAGGGAGACTTGTTCATGTGACAATGCAGATATGACAACAACATGGCATAAATAATTTCATGCAAACACTAGGGGTCCTGGGTGTGCAAAAGATGGGAACTGTCAAAATTGTGAACTGTCAGAGAGAAAAACAATTGAAATCTTGATGAAAGGTATTAAGATGTAAAAAAATAAGCAACATCTCCGCCTTAAAAAAAAAATGCTCCAAATGTTTCACCCTCCAACACTGTGACCATTTCGTGTCAGTGAGTCCATCCAGACTGACATGTGTCAGCAGCTACTGGCTGGTCTGACAAAGGGAGACAGAATGAGACAGACAGACAGAATATCAAAGGTTTCACTGGTCTGACCTGCAACATGGTTGAGATGGAGGGACAAGGACACCGTTTGTTCTTTAATCTACTTTCTCATGCCATGTTACTGCAGCTCTCGTGGGAATCAGTTTCAGCCATCACAGTCGTGATTGTGAGATCTAACACACAGCTCAACCGCACAGCTGCAAAGACAGGAGTGAATGTCAGCTTTGAGGGGTGAGTTCCCATTTCAGTGAATTGACCGCGATGGGTGCACAACATTTTCCATGCAGAAATTAAAGGACAGAACCACTGTGTGAACTTCTGATCTGTGTCGTCTTTTGTCTTCACCCATCACTACCAAAACACTGATGTGAATGATGCACCCCTTGTGACAAAATATTAAAGTTGATAAGGAGAAAATGCCAAATAATAACTTAAGACAGTTTCCAGTTTATGAATTGGCTTTATTGAGAAAACAACTTGATGTATAGATAAAAAATTAGATCTTTAGCTTTAATTTTGTGATTATAAACAGTCATGTAGTGAAGTACAGAATCCCACTAGTCAGACAAACACTGTCACCACCATACAAAATTATAACAATTTCTCTGGCAGTAATACAAGAGGAGTGGTCAGCCTTAGGAGTTTTATTCATTAATACTGACCACTATCATGTCATCAGTAAAAATCATCTTGAGTAAAAGTGTCCTTGGTTGTATTTGCTTTGTCGTATTGTCGAACTTGTAGCTCATGAATCTCTGTCACCCTCTAGTGGAAGTGAGTTGCTATTGGAGGAGCAGCAGTGTCTCTATACTGGTCACATCACAGGTGCTCTGGGTGGTTCTGCAGACATTTGATGAACTCTTTCACTGCTTTGCCTTCAAAGCAGATCTGGTAGACTTCTGCAAACAAGGGAAACCTGCAGGAAAGAACAGATATTCACAGTGCATTCATATAAACTCCCACCTATTGGTATATGTATCATCACTGTGTATATCCCACAGGCGTTTCCACTTCTGGCTCATTAGACCTCTGCTCAGGTGAAGGTAGGTAGAGCTATGCTGGGAACTACATACACAATGTCACCACACACTCAAGGTGTAAGAATAGCTACTGATTCCAGCATACTTTATTGTTGGCTTGTCTTGACTTCATCGTGCTGTTCAGCCTTAATTATAAGAACTAACATGATAGTGAGGGAGTCCTGACAAAAAGTGTAATCAGGAAACACATGTGCAAGAGGGCCATGGCTAGATACTGTACAGTGTAACTATATTTCAGTTGTACGCAACCTGGAAACATTTCAGCAATACAAATTAATTCATTCTTTTCATTTTGGAATGCATTTTATTGTTAAAACTAGAATCACCGCTTCAAAGTTGTATGCCTCTGCCAATGAGTCAAATTCACAAGAATGGGACAGATGTGAGGTCACTGATCTTGACCTTTGACCACCAAAATCTGATCAACTCATCTCTGAGTCCAAGTGTCAAGTTTGAAGAAATTCCCTCAAGGCGTTCACAATAATGGGATGGACAGACAGACAAACCTAAAAACAGCATGTGGCCAGCTGTGGTTATCTCCAGCACAGAGGGATAATGTTACAAAGTAATGTTAAAAACTATTTATTGAGGTGAATTATGTTGACATAAATCTCTGAGAACACCACAGTCAGTGTCCAGTTCACTAAGGACACCTGTGCAGTCTAAACCAATCCAATAACTGTTCAGCCATAAAGTCTGCTTTTATTATGCCTATAATGCTCATTACTGTTGGCAATGTCATAAAAGTGTTAATTAAATTCTAAGTGTTAACAGTCAAGTCATTGTTAGTAGTGGTTTTGTACTGAACTTCGGTATATTGAAAGGTGTTTCTAATATTTTCCCCTTGTCTGTGTAAATAGGACATTTACACATTTCTGTCAATGGCAACAAGAATTGAACATTATATGGTTTGTAAAGGCAGACTATGGCTGAACTGCTTGAACTGCAACCTCATAAATGCTCACCGAGTGTACAAGATATATGTAAATATGTAATGAAATTTTGGGTCATTATATTTTAACGAACCCGTGAGGGTTAGCGCGATACCCAGCAGACCTCTCAGCATGTGCAGAGACTGTATTTAAATAAAGGGGTCCAGTTTGATGCATGTGGCATTTTTTTAACAACATCTGCGAGCCAAAAGACTGACATGTATGAAAAGTGTAATTGTGGGGAACAGCTTTTACAGACTCACTTGTTGACCATGTTCCTCTTTTGTAGGATCTTGTAGACCTCAGCTGAAGTCTGAGGACCCTGAAGCTTCTGACCATTCAGCATTTCTACTTCGAGCTCTGCAATGGACTGAAGAAGAAAACATACAGAAACAGTTTTAATGGTGTCCAAAAATCATTCATCAGGTGTACACAGTAGATATTTTGCTTAGATGCTCTTATCTCTGGCATGCATTTCTACTAACACCAAAACATCAGACTGATCTTTTGGTGTAAAACAATACTACAGTGAACTTTGAGTTTAGAGTTTCTATCACAGATATATATTAGCACATTAAGAAGGACCTTCCATACTCAAATATTGCTTGGTGGTTTTATTATGTGGCATCTGGATTAATCATTTATTCACTTTAGCTGATGTGACTTAGTTTAGCTATGCAGTGAATCCCTGAGTTTTGCAACTATTTTAAGTATTCTGAAAAAGGGACAAAATGCTCTAATGAATGACTATAACTTACAGGTTATTTTAAATAGTTCATGCATTATTACATAGCTATGGAATAGGTAGATGTACACTCCTATGTTCCTGTCTGACTCACCTTGTTTGTTGTAACAAAGGCCTCTGCAACCTTGCGGTTCCGCCCTCCGTAGCAGGTGGTGATGAGGTCGGCCACACCGCAGCTTTCCAAGAATGTACTGGAGCTCACTGTGCCTTTACAGAACAATCTAGCGAAAGCAATCATTTCCATCAGACCCAGCCTGATCACTGCTGCTTTGGTGTTGTCCCCACACCCAAGACCGTCGCAGAATCCAGCACCTACAGCCACAATATTCTGCACAAGGATACAGACATTTTGTTTCTTGATTAACACACTGAGAGAAAATTCTGCATGTGAAGCCTCTGGCATCAAGACAGAAGGACAATATTCACAATATGTGGCTGCCTTTACCTTTAAGGCTCCACACAGCTCCACAGTATCACTCTCACGTACGACAGTGATGCGAAAGTTGGGGGTCTGAAGCAGCTCTTTGAAGATATGGCCATTCGCATCATTTTTTGCCCCTGTGTGTTAAAAAGAAGCAAACCGACTGCCACTTAACACTGAGAAACAAGGAAGTAACATGTTGTTCTGACCACCACACTGCATCCTCTGAAACATCAGTACAATTTTGCACAGCTAAATGCTACAAAAAGCAAATAATAAAATGTTGACAGTGATTAAAACAGTGTCTAACCAATGGTGGTTTCACAGAACTTCTCGTCTGCCACCTCACTAGCAATGTTGGCCCCCATCAGGACACTGACATCAATCTCTAGTTTTTCTCGGATGATGTCCGAGATGAGCTTCAATCCATCTGGTCCCTCATCGACACCCTGGATGACGAGACGGAGTTTCTGTACTATATTTATATTTACTAATAGATATGTGTCAGAGTGAATATATTTTCTGTATTGCTCAACTATACAGCATCCCGTGACTCTGTAACCACTGAAAAATATGAAGCACAGTCCTATGACAGTTTCCCCTTTATGCTCTCAGGAAATCTGACATGAAGAACTATGACAGGATCTTACTTTGATGAGCGATATCCCGATGGTTCCCTCTGTGACGTGACATTTCATCTGATCACAGAGTTTGCCAATGAACTGGTGTGGGATAACAAAGACCAGGACCGTCGCCCCCTTCACAGCCTCTGTGATGTCTGGAACAGCAATCTAGTGCAGCATCAACAACAAAGTCTTTAAACTGTGGCAGATAATACAAACACATGAAACACAGGAAATAAGTCTTGAACTTTACTAGGCCCAATAGTATTTTTTATAATTATTAACAATACATTTTACAGCAGATAAAGGTCATTAAACGCACAAGAACATTTTAATATGAAGTAAATTTAGAAAAGAAATACAAAAAAACAATGATACTAATTTAAAAAGAAACCATGTACTTAATATTAACAACAATAACATAAGTCTTAATTGAGATGTACTATTAATATGTGAGGTCACTGGGGGAAAACAACACAAAAAACCTTGAAAATAATATGACATCATCTTGTCTACTAGGATCTGACAAATCCAACAATAAACAACAAAGAAATACACAAAATGCAGGGGGTATTATCCAAAAATCATTGTAAACAAACCAACAATTATTTTGAAACTGTATTTTAATGGATTTCTCTTAGTAAATAGTTTTGTAAATTGATGGTTTGTGGGGAATAAAAGCAATTTATGTGCCATTAGACTTCCTGCCATTACATGGTTTTCTTTTTCACTTGACAGTTTGACACTCTTCTTAGGTACAATGAATCAAAGACAAGGAAACTCATAGTGCACCCAATTGCATGGCAAAGTCAGATATACTGTAAATGCTGGCAGGTAAAAAGTACGAGTCAAAGTTACGTTATCACCGTAATGACTTACTGTACGACTGAAAACTTTGTGAACCAAAGATCGCTGTAACTTGTGTAATCTGTTACCACACGGCTGTGTAATTGAAAGATAATGCTGCTTATCAAAGCTCTCCTAAATGGGGACTTACCACATTCTTGGGCAGCTTGTGACCTGGTAAATATTTGACATTTTCATGCTCAGCATTGATGATTTCTGTCAGTTTCTTCCCATTAATCATCTCTTCATAGACCCACATTTTGACCATTGGGTCGAAGCGGTTGGATGCTTTGACATTCTGCCCAATGATTCTGGCAATGGAGGAGCCCCTGGACAGAGAAATGACATGGTCAGGCAAAATCGTGACAATTCAGATCTACTAGGTTCTGGGTGGAACTTAAAGGAATGATCAAGCACATCTTTTTCATTTTATCTTATCTTCACGTAATGAATGTCTATTAAGTTCAACAAAACTGAAAGACAATTAGTTTCAGAAAAGTAGGGAACAAATAATGTGCAGTTATCGGTGTGTAGTTACAGCCTCCCTATAAAGATACACTGTGAGGTAAAACTTGGTATACAGGTCTTCATTCTCAGCACACTCCGTGTTGGTTCATGTTGCAGCTTGCTATCTGACTTTTCAGGCGCTGCAAAAGGAGGGCGGATACGAACAACATCAACAAAATCTGGACGTTTGGGGCCTTGGTTGCTTTTTTTAGGTGTGAAACATAAGGCAACCATATTCCATGAATTACATGGGACGAATAGGTAAATCTGCTAAATTGCAAAATGCGTTCTTACAAACCCTGGGTGCCATAATAAAGTAAAAGGCGCTCTTGTTTCTGAAAGATGAATCTAAAAGAGAAACTAAAAGTTACCAGTTTCCAGATCCAACGATGCAGACTTTCTTTGCAGGCATTTTCGAGGAGATTAGTCTTTCTGCTCCCCAAGACTGAAGATCCTGTTCCTCTGTTTTGCTCGTTTATGTTTACTTCCTCATACGCCCTACATAAACTGATTCAGCCCTCCCTCGCCACGGATACACCTCCTGGCTTTACAAAAGTACAAATCTACAGTAAAAGTATCACTGCGTCCGTCTCGACACATTTGCAAAATGCATCCCCATGTCCTATATTTTAGACTACAGTTCACTCCTGTGCTTTCTTGTTAAAACGCAATCGATACAGTGGGTGCACAAAAAGGGAAAACTAACTAAATGTGCAGTGCATTAATGCTTTACCTGTTATATATATTATTAAAGAATCACTAGAAATAAAAGAAATCTGCCTGACACGCGGATTGTCGTCACCAACCGAGTACTCGAGTACGACTGCGCATTAATTGGTACTTCCGGTCAAGAGGATTTTCAAAACAACTGTCATTTTGAAGAAATCACTGACATATCCTCTCTTGTTTACTAGTACATATATTTTCCTTACATGTGCATTATTTGTTTATTTCATTATACAGATAAAATAGGGCCAATGGCCCATAAGAATGTACTAAAAAATTGACACTTTATTATAGACTCAAGGTCCAAGTTGAAAAACTAAAAAACAAAATAAAAAGAGAAACCTTTCAATATAGAATGATTTGTCCTTGCATAGTGAAAACTCCAGTCAACACTTAATTTCATGTTTTTCAAAACACTTATTTTGGGGAATATAATAAGGGTGCTATATCCAAATTTGAATAGATCAGCGTTTGCATTTAAATTACCCGTGTGAAAATACGTAAAACTATAAACTCGCTGACAAACCATTATCAGTATTCTTTAAGGAAACAATAATCATAAGAACCTAAATTAGGATGGTAAAACTATTAACTCCCATGTAGCACATGCGAATAGATTCATATTTTCAGACATTACCTGTAAATACATGTAATGTTCCACGTCTGGTTGGATTAACCATTACCTAACATTTTAGACAAATCCTTTTCCTTGTAAGGCTTTTAGGTGTGGTGAAGGCAGGTTTTGTAGCTTTATTTATTGTATTGTAATGTTTATTCTTACTGGGGGGGAATGGAAGTGTACGCGTGATGTCAAGTCGAGTCGAGTCACGTGACTGTGTTCTTGCCAGAGCAGTCAGGCGAGCTAGCAGTCACAGGCTAACAAGTTACTCCCTGTATCAGCTGAATAGACAATGTTTTATCATCCATTATTTAATCTAGCCAGTTAACAGTCCGGCGTCTGTGGGGTGTGTGGTGTGTTCGGACACGCGATGAGCCGACGGATTTACTCTGTATTATAAGGGAAGCTGGTCGTCCATTTAAATCTCTGGTAACTTGGCTAGCTTCACGCTAGCTAGCTGAGTTAGCATCTAAAGGGGGTTGCTTTGCTAGTGACTATGGAAGGGGAAACCACGGCTGTACGAATCACTGAAAACGACGGCAAGCTGGATGGTTTTCCCCAGAACAAGACCTCAGTCTCGGGGAAAGCAAGTGCCAAAAGCTGGCAGTATAGGTAGGGAGCTGTTTATTCTGCTAACGCACAAATATTTAAGACAGTTAAAGGCATGTTTCGTGAGTTTGCGTTAAATGTTTTTGTTGATCACCTAGGATCAGGTAAGACTGGAGTTATATTGCCCCAAAGCTGTAATTCAGCAGTGCGTTTATTTTGTATTCATGGGTGTGAACTTTGCTCAAGTGTTTTATCAAGTGCTCTTTGTCTCCACTTGCTTGATAACGTTTCATGGCAGTGATCACATGGAGAATATTGATGGCTACTTGTTGAAATACACTAACCTGGTGACAGGATGGCAGTACAGGTGAGTTGTTCTACCTGTGTTTAATAAATAATACCAATCTAAAATGTATTATGTCAACATCAAGTGTAAGAAGTGCTGTGAGTATTCATTTGCCTTACTTGCCTATTTCATTATTGTAATCTAGTTTAATCCAACCAAAGTAATACCACAGTGGTTATCTGGTAAACAACTGTTGTTGTGGTTGCTTTTGCTTTTAGGTTCTTTGTTTTAAACAATGAGGCAGGTTTGCTGGAGTACTTTGTCAATGAGCAGTCACGGCCCCAGAAGCCCCGCGGCATGCTTCCCCTGGCAGGGGCCGTCATCTCCCCCAGCGACGAGGACTCGCATACTTTCACTGTCAACGCCATCAGTGGGGAGCAGTACAAACTCAGGGGTGGGTACACATATTCTGACTTCTTTACATTAACAGCTGTGAGTGAGTCTACAATAAGTTATTGTAGGTCTATCTCTCACTGGTTATGTCAGACCTTTACATCTCAGGTTGTGTGCTCCTACTTGACCTTCATTCCCTCAAATCCATTTTTAACTCCAGACTTACTGTCATCACCATCCATCAGGTTCATACAGTATTGATCTGAATGTTCTCCATTATCTGCTGCCGTTGAGGACGAAGCAAATAGGCATCGATGCTGAGTAAGCTCATCCTAGAGTAACTGTAACAAGGTTTTGCTTTCTTGTTTTTCTTTTATATGTCTCTCTCAGCCACCGATGCCAAAGAGAGGCAGCACTGGGTAAGCAGACTGCAGATCTGCACACAACATCACACAGAGGCAATGGGGAAGGTAAGACAGTCAGTGTTTCTTTGACACAAACATGAGCACATTTTGATAGAGAGCACACGCTGACTTTGCAAAGATAACTCTCGCTTGTTCTGGTTCTGCTTGCAAATATGCTTAATATTTATCTTTGGATTGTATATACACTCCTTTTTATTGTTTCATGTACTGTGCACATGAAATATTAGTTAGTACAGACATTTGTGGGACCAGTTTATATCAGCCATAATATTGTTTAAAGGGTCGTTATGCTGTCATTAATTTGTACAACAGTGATGTAGAAAGGTACAAGATGTTCCTTTGGTATTATTAATGTTATAATGCATTTTAAACCTCATGTGTAATCATCAAAATAAAGCATACGACTCTGGCACAGACCAGATGTGAGCTGGACAGTTTCTAGTTTCCCGTTTTCCTTCCTCACGCTTGACAGGAGCTAGCAAACAAAGCCAGCAGCAGTGGAAAAAAATATATCAGAGCTGTAAAATATCAATGTTTATGTAACAATGTATCAGGTTTTATATAGCAAGTACAGAAATCATTAGTATTGATCTGGATATTGATGCAAACAGGTGTCAAATTAAAGGAAGAGACTTGTAGAATCAATGCCAATGTGCATGGAAGCTCTTGGGCCTCATTTCTTAATGGTACACTTTTCATATGATATTTTTCAAATACTACATTGTACAGAGTAATGCCCCACCTAAGTCCCGGAGCTACTCCATGGTGTCTCAAGGCAGTGGCAGCTCGCCCATGTCCCTGCGCCGGCCCAGCCAAAACCCTGCCTCCTTATTCAGCTGGTCGCAGGTCCACAAGAGCTCCTCAGTCTACTCCACCAACAGGTCTCTGCTGCCGGACTACCTGGTGGACGCCAGAGAGGTACAGCAATTCAGGGACACACAGCTAGACTGAATCACAAATGTGTGGGTGTAATTAACAGGGGCATTTTCATCTGATATTTCATTTCAACATTTTATATGATGAGTTGTATGCCAGGTTAGACACGAGGGAAGGTGAGAAGGACTTGTACAGATTAGTGAGACAGAGAGATAGATATGGGAAGGATGTGCAACAGATAAGGGCGATTAAAGACAGAGATGGAAAGGTACTAACAAGTGAGGAGAGTGTGCAGAGAAGATGGAAGGAGTATTATGAGGAACTGATGAATGAGGAAAATGAGAGGGAAAGAAGGGGGGAAGAGGTGAATATTGTAGAGCAGGAAGTAGCAAAGATTAGAAAGGATGAGGTGAGGAAGGCTCTGAGGAGGATGAAGAGTGGAAAGGCTGTTGGTCCAGATGACATACCTGTAGAGGTGTGGAAGTGTCTAGGAGAGACAGCAGTAGTGGAAGCTAGGCTAAGAAAGGAAGTGGATATCTGTGAGCAGCAGTATGGCTTCATGCCCAGAAAGAGCACTACTGATGCCATTTTTGCTCTGAGAATGTTAATGGAGAAGTATAGAGATGGTCGGAAGGAGCTGCATTGGGTCTTTGTGGATTTAGAGAAAGTGTACGACAGAGTGCTGAGAGAGGAGCTATGGTACTGTATGAGGAGGGATAGTGGTTATATTGGTAGAAGGAGATGGATTGGTAGATTGGAGATGGAGCTGCCAGGCAAGAGGTCAAGAGGAAGGCCAAAGAGGAGATATATGGATGTGCTAAAAGAGGACATGTCGTCTGAATTGTGTGTGAGGTTTAAAATGACACAAGTTTTACAACATCAAATCATTATATGTCCTGTGACCCACCACACTCAGTCTAGTGTATATGTAGTAAGGTACACATAGTAAAATTAAAGGACATTCTGCCAGATTTTTTGTTTGGCAGAAATTTAGGTAACAAGTGAAATTAAGAAAATCTGCATCTGATCCACCAATAAGACTGTTCTCATCTGTTGCTAGGACATTTGATGTATTTGTTATGTAGTCAAGCTGATGCTAGAAATTAGGGATGCGCCAATGCCAATACTAGTATCGGGTCCGATACCACTCTCTAGTACTCTGTTCGTACTTGTAAAAGCTGTCCTACCAATACCAGTTAACGGCAGCAATAATTAACTTCTTAACTGTCTTCCAAACTGTTCCATGGCAGATGGCTATGAATCCATACTGGCAAACCTAAGGAGAGGTAACAGAAGAACTAAATGTATCCTCCAAAGACATTTTGATAGAATTATGTGATTAATAGACAATGCAAACCTTTGTTTTTATTGTCACTTATGAATTCCACAAAAATAACATATGAGCCATATCTTTTTGTAAAGTGAGCGAGTCAATGTGTGAGGATCAATTAAGGGTGGCATTTTTCTCACTGCACTACATTTCATTATTGCTTGAACTTTAGGACGGTGTGACTATGCAACAATGAAATGTTGATCTCTTAAAAGGCTTCGTAGAAGTACAAGCAACAGTATGTTCCTACAAAACATGCAGGGGTAAATGTAAAGTATAGTACTTGGACTTTGCCCCATTTGTGTGATGCATGTTGTCGTCCATAAGAGAGCAGTGTTGTCCTTCTGGTGTGGGTAGACTGTAGCAGTCATGCAGTTTGTTGTCTATGGATTTAGTTCTTCTCACTGCCTTTAAATCAGTTTATTTGTGCAGTTAGTTTGTGGGATTTGACCTCTATCTTGACCAACTTGTTATGCTGCCCCAATGTTGCTGTTTTCAGTTCCCATAATTTTCACTTTTAATAAGATGGAGAAGTCTAACCAAATTTGGCAGGCAGGCATGTTTTTACTGTTATGTTAATGTAATTTCCTCAAAACACGGATAGCATACATACATAAAAGTAAACAAGGACAATTTTTTTTGGTTAATACCGAATGTTTGGCCTGGGTAAACAATTTTGTGGATCATCAAATCAGTGTGTGGGCGATAGTAGTATTACTCCTTGGGCTATGCACCTCATGTAAAGAAGTTTTTTCTGGGGAGGTGCGTGCACTTTTCTTACTGAATTAATTTAAATGAGATAACAGAACCTGTACAGATAAAGTACATTACACCCCATTGCAATGTGGCAGTTCGCCCCAAATAACCATACTGTCATCACAATCTCCCTCCAGATGATGAGCCAGGCTCAGGGCCAGCACAGAGACCTGATTGAGAGTATTGAGGGCCTGCCTGCAGCCCCTAGCCTCTCCCCTCTAGACCCGGATCTGCTGATGCTCAAGGCCACCTCCATGGCTACCATGAACTGCCTCAATGAGTGTCTGCATATCCTTCACCTGCAGCAGGTGGCCAGGCAGACAGGCTCCCTGGGAGGTCAGTGTGTTTACTGTGTCTGGATATGGTGGTTGTTGCGCCCCTTGTAGCATGGGCTAGCCCAAAAATGATTGATATTATATAGGTTGTTGGGTCCAGACATCTTCAGCTTTTCTGCTGCCGCAGCGGGTGGCCAGGCAGACAGGCTCCCTGGGAGGTCAGTGTGTTTACTGTCTGGATATGGTGGTTGTTGCCTCCTCTTGGTTTCTTTTTACATTTGCTAACAATCTTGTCACACAGAAAAGGTAGAGGTGATTCTGAACTGTTTGTGTGAGGAGTATTTCTGCTATCATTTAGTTTTTGTGCTCTTAATGAGCTCCTCCTGTGCTATAAGTGACAGAATGTCTGGTAACTGAGGCTACATGCAGCCCTCACGACAAATCATAGTCTTTGCTCCTGCAGGTCAGCACACAATCTAGGTGAACAGTTTAGTTTTGCTGGGCAGTGGAACTGTTTTGCATTATTGATAGGCAATGGTGCCTATTCTTACCACCTGTCTCGAAGGTAATTAGATCTCAGGTGGTTGCAGTATCCATCAGGAACACTGTTGTGGACAGGATTCACTTTTAATACAGCTTCACGTTGACAAACGGGCTTTAGGGTGTTAAAGAACAAACAGAGTGAAGTATTGGACTCAGATATCTCAACACCTCTCTATTCAGGATCGTCTGAAATGGGGAAGACATCCAGCTAATGCTCCATTTTTTCACAGCAGGTCTCATTACTCCATGTATATTTCATTAGGTCAGCCTTATCGCAGAAGCCAATCAGATCAAGTTGTCCAGTGACGCACAAGGTGAATTTGATTGAGTTCTGCCCACCTCTAAACTTGCATAAAAATGTGCTCACGCCCTACCGAGAGTCTTTAGCCAATCAGAGGAGGATGTTTCCTGACGGCGTGGCCCAAGTATCCTGACACTCAAAGGTGGGGTTGGGTTTCCACTCCTGTGGTCTAGGACGGTTTTCTAAGCCATCTGTCCACTCAGCAGCCAGGCAGTTGTGGGGTGTTTGTGTGGGGAATGGTAGTCCAGGGGTAGAACTACATGTGTGTGTGTGTGCACAGCTGTGAGACTCAGGGGAACTTGGGAGGGAGGGGGGATATAACTGTGAGTACCTCTGAACCCACCGTTGTGCTTTCCCCTATCCATGGCAGGACCCACCATTGAATGGCTGGAGCCCAAGCTGCCCGACATCCTGAAGAACAGCAGCAGCTTTCCAGCGGCAGAGGGTCCGTTGGAGAGGATATGTGTTGAGCTCAGCAGCCCCGAGTCCTGCAGCTTCCCTGGGGTAAGTGCAACAGAATGATGCCCACTGTTCTGCTGGAGAAAGTTGTACCAGCATGTTGGTTATTTCCATTAATTCAGCCATAAAGCATTGCATTTCCATATTTGGCTTTAAGCAGTTATTCCTGTTCCACAGCATAAACAGTCACCTTTTCTGTGGAGTCATTCAAGCAGGTCATTGAATAAATCGTATTCCCCTCCCTTCCCTCTTTTAGGAACAAGAAGAGATCAGTGCAGAGGATGAAGTGGAAGACTCCTTCACAGACGAGGAGGAAGACCTGGGTGTGGTGGAGGAGGAGCGTAGTGTCATCCTACACCTGCTGTCGCAGCTGAAGCTGGGCATGGACCTCACACGGGTAGGTCGAGTTCCATGTACGCCTGAGCTGCTGTTCCACCACCAACTCTTCCCACACTTTGTCTTCCTGTGATATGACAGAGGGAGTTTATGGAGGATTATATTGATTTCAGATCAAAAGTCCCACTATGGGAGGTGTGAAGAGTCTTTCCAGGTGCTTAGATTGGCTGTTTGCAGCAGAACCTACTATACTGTAGGTTGTGATGTGACTTGAACTTTGGTCATCCACAACATTGCTCACAGGCTCCTTCCCTGTGAAAGTTCTCCATTTATAGTTTCATTTTTTTAGTCAGCTGATTTGGAGGAACAACAGACCGTGAATATTTAGATATTTGTACTTTTAAATTATTTTGCTGATGTTACACATAATACATACTGGTACTTGCCTTAGAGATGCAGCAGTTAGCATTTTAATATATTAGTCGATCAAAACAAACAAAAAACATACACTTAATCTGAAAATTGACTGAATTGTTCAAGTAAAATTGCCAAATATTTGCTGGGTGCAGTTTCTCAGATGTTAAGATTTGATGCTTTTCTTGTACTGATATTATGGTAAACCCAGTGTGTTTGTTTTTGGACGGTTGGTCAAAACAGATATTTGTAAAACATCACTTTAGGCCCTCGGGGCTTTTTGTTTTTTGGCTTTGTCTTTTTAATCTATTAAATGTGAAAATAATTGGTAAATGAATTCCTTATGAAAATATTCATTAATGATGTCCTAGCATCTCGTGTTGCAAGTCACAAAAAAAATTCAACTAGACAGAGAACATAACTTTTCATAATGGAGAAAGTACTGTATACAGTGACCCTGGATCAGAGAACAGGCCTGGCTGGATCAGGAGCTGGGATCACTGTGAGCGTCTGTTTTTAATCATCTGATTTAGAACAACCCTAGCAGGCATTGCGTAGCAATTAACTAGTCCTCAACACACACGTCTTAAATACACCACAAGCTGAGCCCTCGACAGACATTGTATCTTCCAGTGTCACTTTGTTTTAGTATTTGGATACCCTCCTCTTGGGTTTCTGATTAGTTGCAGTTATCTGGTGGATCCACTGGCTTTACCGCAAATGGAGATCCCATAAACACTGACCTTGGGTACATGTCACTTGCTCAATTAGCTACTGCCTTCGATGCTATGTGTACAACAAGAGCTGATCAATATGTGATTTTCTCCTCAACTTTTCCCCAGGTGGTCCTTCCCACCTTCATCCTTGAGAAGCGCTCTCTGCTAGAGATGTACGCCGACTTCATGTCACACCCAGACCTCTTTGTGGCCATCACCGACGGCAGCAGCCCTGAGGACCGCATGGTCCGGTTTGTTGAGTACTACCTCACCTCCTTCCACGAGGGCCGCAAGGGTGCCATTGCCAAGAAACCCTACAACCCCATCATCGGTGAGACCTTCCACTGTTCCTGGAAGGTACCCAGGAAGCCAGAGGCTGCCAAGGAACCCTCACAGGGAAGCCCCGACCCAGCCGCCTCCCGGGACCCCTACCAAGTGCGTTTTGTGGCAGAGCAGGTGTCACACCACCCCCCTGTGTCTGGTTTCTATACTGAATGCCAAGAGAGGCAGATGTGTGTGAACACGCATGTGTGGACCAAGAGCAAGTTCATGGGGATGTCTATCGGGGTCTCCATGATAGGTGAAGGTAAGCCAGCATCCTGAGTATTGATATCTTGACTCTGTTCTAAAACAAGAATAGCTGGAGCAAGAAATCAAATCTGTGGGTGTGTAATATATACAGTATGTAGTCTAAGATATCTTAATGTGAGCTGATATCAAGAATGTCACTTTACAAAAAATAAAAATAAAAACACAGACAGTCCACACAGTCACTGCGTAGCCTAGTAGGATAGACTACCGTTCATGTGCACTGAGAGTGCATGCAGTGTGTACATGATCACGGCAACACAAGTTAAGCTAGTGAACAAACAGAAGACAAATCACTGACACCACCAGCTTCACTGTGTATTGTGCATTCAGCTAATATTGGCACATATGTCTGAGTTTTATTCTTGCCCCTAATGCTTCTGTTTTAATTGTTTTTCCAGGTTGCCTATATTTGCTAGAGCACGATGAAGAGTACACCTTCACGCTGCCCTGTGCATATGCACGCTCCATCCTCACAGTTCCATGGGTGGAACTGGGAGGCAAAGTCACCATCACCTGTGCCAAATCAGGCTACTCAGCAGTCATCACTTTCCAAACTAAACCCTTTTATGGTGGCAAACTGCACAAGTAGGTCCTTTCTGTGTTGTCCATTCCACCGACGTCACATTGGTTATTATTAGTGAAATGACTGGTATATGTTATTGAATTCATTGTTAGTTTTTCTGTAAATGTAGATACCAAACTGTTTTTACCATTTAGTTTTATGTTTCAGTTGTTGTTCACTAAACGATGTCATAGTTTTCATATAAGCAGTTTCGTGTAGTGAATCTGTGCTTTTTTTATTGATTTTAATTTCCTGTCCCAAATGTAGGGTAACAGGGGAGGTGAAGCACAACCCTACCAATGCGGTGGTGTGTCGTGTGCAGGGCGAGTGGAATGGTGTTTTGGAGTTCAGCTACACCAGCGGAGAGACGAGGGTGGTTGACGTTACCAAGCTACCTGTTACAAGGAAGCTCGTCCGACCCATCGAGAAGCAGCAGCCAACTGAGTCCAGGTCACAAGAAGTGGATTTCTGCACTTAATCATTTTCTTTTAGTTTTATTTGTTGCAATTTGTGCTTTCTTTGTTTAGGGACATCCTGTTAAAAGCTTGTGATTTAAACTGACTATTTTTTGGTGAATCAGGCGCCTGTGGCAGCATGTGACAGAATCCTTACGGCAGAAGGATATTGACAAAGCCACAGAGCACAAGAGGATTCTGGAGGAAAGGCAGCGGACGGAGGAGAGACACCGCGCTGAGACAGAAACTGCTTGGAGGACCAGATATTTTGACAGAGAGGTGAGCAAGTTGAACACAACATATTCCCAGACACATGATGTAGTCTATAATCACTGGGCTTTGGGGTTATTACTGTATAAACCTGTCAGGTTGGAGTACTTTCCTGGCAGGAAACAGCAGCCCAGGACACAGGCCCAGTCAAAACAAACCCAGCATAGCCTCAGGCTGCCTGCACTGACTCTGTGGAGAAATCACCTCCATCTCCTGCTGCAGCTTCTTCATTTCAGCCTGTTGTCCGAGGTTAAAAGAATCAACTTAACGTTAAAGCGACCAAACTTTTATACTGTTGCATTAACCTTAGTCGTGCTTTTATGTGGTACATTCATTCCATGTTGTTGTTTACTTTAGTCATATGTAACACAAATACTCAACTGATTTTTCTTCATATCATTGTTGCATTTTTGCCAGTGTGGTTGTGAAACTGGATTGAAGTGACATTCAGAGGGGTCAAAAAAAAATCTTTAACAGCTTTAAATGTGAAGGATGAAACCTGCAGTAGCACTGTGTAGTTTATTTTTTGTCTGTTGCAAAGAAAAGTCTCATTTGTGCCCTTGTTGCCAAAAAGTACAATGTTCACTTTTTCCCCCCACTTTGGTTTTATACAACATAAATCATTTTTAAACAGAGGGTGACCTTGTTGGATTAAACATTTATGTGAAGTCACTGCAGAAAACTTTGAATTTATTGACTGAAGTTTTCTCTCCTCCTCCAGGGTGAAGGCTGGGTTTATAGCAAACCACTTTGGAAAAACTCTGCAATCAAATCCTAATTTCTTCAGTCTGTACCTTGGATGTTGAAATTAAAGATTGAGGAATGTGTGTGTGTGTGAGTGCACACACACGAGTGACATTTATTAAATGAAAGCATGACCTGCACTGACCTAAAGAGGAATGTACCCTGGGGAGGAGGACAGAGACGGCATGACTGAAGGTGTTCTCAAATCTCGCTCATGAAGTTCACGAAGCCTTGAAGTACATGTTTTTGTACGGTAGATCGCATTTTTAATAATCCACTGTCAATAAAACCATACTCTCGTACAGCTAATGGTACTCCATTTACACAGCCTTAAAATCCGATGCTCTAAGAATGACGCTCCAAGTTTCAGGTTTGGCTCATTGACCTGGATATGGTTGTTTCCTTCTTCCTTTTTGTAAGCTATGGTATCACACAGGTGAAGTGACTTTTCTAAAATATCTAAACCCACATAATTAGAGAACTGTCTCATAAATTCCACCCTGTAAACGCTTGCAGCGATCTGTATTTCAGTTTGCAGTACTAAAATTGTATCCTCTTTCACTGTCACCGAGTATATTTACATGCACACACTCTTCGGATCCATAGGCGGAGGTGAAGAGTTTTCTAGCAGCACTGAAATAAAAGCATGTTTGAATTTTGAGGTGTTTAAAAAGATGGGACAACACTACTCTCTTAGCCTTCTAATCCTTATGCTAGGCTAAGCTAATGGTCTACTGGCTGTAGCTCCAGATTAAGGGATGTGGTCTTGTCCAAAATGTCCTACTGCATTATCATAATGTTTGCTCCTTGTACTCCATATAAGAAACCAATCATCATATGTAAAAGTTGTGGAACTGTCTTTTAATTAGGTGACACTTAACACTGATTATGATTTGACGCGTTTACATAAACTTGGGCAGCGATAGTTTGACCTTCACTTGGGTTAATATCAGGTGAATTATGTGCATGTAGGTATACTTATCTCTCAATAAATTCTGATTGAGTTCATTCTTGTTTGATGCTATATTAATATCGGCATGTTGAATAAGTGCCAGTGCTAGAATGGCATGTCACAGACTGACAAATAACCAAATCTGAGTGATGCATCTGAAGGTAACTACCACACAATTTCTGTCTTTCTGCTTTTGTAATTAGTTTGTTGTTTTTTTTTTTTTTGCAGTGGATGGAAGCTTTCCTACATGCATGATCATCATAGCAAAGTATCTTTTCACATTGACGGCAACAAGTATACTTCTTGTGTCTGCTTTACTTAGTTCTAAATGGATGTTGTAAAAGCTTTTAACCAAATTTGCTTGTTTTGTAACGCAAATAAATATTTTTATTGACTGCGTGTTTATCGCCCTTCTTGCTCTTAAATTGCTCTTAGTTTCAGAGCCACTTTTTTGTAAAGAGACGTCGTTCCATCAGAGGTTCAGCTTCATTTTTGTTGTTGTTTTTCCCCTAAAACTAAATGTTAGTCTCACACTCTCAAAGCATCACAGCACAAAGTAAGAAACAGTTTCTGCTTCCTTACAGCCATTGAGAAACACATCCCTCCAACTTTTTCTGTCTTCCAGCTAAGGAGCAGCACAGCATTTTCATCAGTTGTTTACCCGACAGATGCAGTGGTGGATGTATTATTTGTCTGTGCGTGTTTGATTCTTATTGAGAAGTTGCACTTTTACTCTAAGTTTTGGAATGTACTGGACATTTTGCTGGCCTATGAAATGCACTGACAATGAAGGAAACCTGGTCATGTGTGACAGTAATCAAATAAATCAGCTGTATAGTGTGTTACAAGTTTTGTTCTCCAAGTCAACTCTCTTCCTGTATTCACTGACAATTAAAAATGCTAAAGTAAGGTTAAGTGTGGATAGCAGTGGTGGAAAGCAAGTACATTTACTCATGTATACTTAAGTAGAATTATATTATTTTTAAAAGCATGGTCATTTTACTGCACTACATTTACTGGTTAACTTTAGTTAGTTTAAAGATTAAACAAAAAAAAAAATAATCATAAGACTATTTCGATCCCCCATAGGAAATTCACAAACTACCCAGGATTAGTAATACAACTTTAAAATTTCAATTACAAGTTAAAGTCTAAGGTCATGTTTTATCTATTGTTTGTGGTATGGTTATACCGGTGCTCCTGATTCCTGTACACAGGTTTGTGCATTGTTCAGATGAAAAGCCTAAAAGCGCCGTTACCAACATTGACCACAAGAGGGAGTACGCGAGCGCCTCTATCAGAAAAGTCCCGGCAGTGAACGCACTGTAGTGCACTGCTGACAAAGAGTGCAGAAGCAATACAATTAATTTAAGTTCTCTGGTGCTGAGACATAAAAGGGTATAGTTCAGCGTGGTGCTGTGGTGCTGTGGTGCTATGTCCAAAGATTTCTGGCGTTGTCTCAGTCTACACCAGGAACCAGTGTGCTTGGAACTGTGGGACACAGACATGCAAAAGATACTCCCTAATTTCCTCTGATTTAGCCTTGAGGGGAAAAATATAAATCCAATTTGAGGAACCACCAATTTTTTTATCAGTGTTCTCATTTACTCTGTCTTTTGTTAGGCTATCTGTAGCCTAAAGCACTTTGAATGAAAGATGCGATACTTATAAAGTCTTGCTTGACTGATGAATGAGCGTCTAATTGTTCTTGTCTACAACAATACTACACCCTAACACAGGTGAATTTAGGGCTGTGTAGCAGTGCTTGGATGCATTAACATGTTAATTTAGGGCATGTTCAGAGGAACACCTGCTTGTCTTTACAAAACCTTTAATCTGACAGCACACCACCTTTTACTATAGAAACAGGTTACTCCTTAATTTCTCTGTCCTAATGATCATTCTAGCACACTTTATTTATACTTTATTAGAGAGGAAAAACCCAACAAATCCCGCTGGAGTAGGAACCTGGTGACAGTGAAGAAGAAAAACGTCCTTTAATGGGGTTCATTTATCTTTAACAATTCTTTAAATTGGTGTGATTGTTTTGTTTAGGTTATTACTGGTCACCTTTACTTTGTCTCGTCAGCCATCTGTAAAGCACTTTTAACAAGACCACTACAACCAAGCACAGCTGGCGTCATCTAGTGGTGATTGTGAAAAACGCACCAAAGCTTCGTCTCTTTGCTTCTATACTCTTTGATACTAATGTCAGAGTTCAGCAACACACTGGATAGGTCTCCTAATTAATCACAACAGTGAGGGAAATCTTTATAGTCACAAAAACCATAATAATGGGGACAGGGGTGCTGCTAGTGATTTTGGGCCTGGTGATGTCCTTAGTTTTACCAGTGGAACTAATGTGACTGTACCTTACCAATCTGCCTTTTGGGGATCACAATAACTAAAGCAAACAATAGAAAACATCAAACCATTTCTCCTTACCTTCAGTTGTAGAAACAGCTGTGTCCTCTGTCCCCGTTTGTTTGTAGTGTTTCCTGCTGCTGATAAAATGACACACAATGAAGACACACTTAGCATCAAACAAAAATTCATATCTGTTCACTGTTGGACATTATCAGTAAGCCACAGTAAGATCTTACCTGAGGTCCCATAGCTCCACTCCAGTCTTCTGCCATCTCTGCTGTGCTGCCTCTGTTCCTATTAAAATGAAACATGACATTCAGAAGCAAACCTTTCCTGTCATGTGACACCACCTCTAGCTGTTCATCTATTCATACAATCATCAGCTTTAGTTGCTGCTTATCATTAAACCGCTCCCTGTCATTATTTACACTATAATGAACTTACAGCTTAATAATTAACACTTTAATTATTTACTGTCTAGTAATGTGACAGAAAAGGCTTCTTCTAGGAATAATGGCAGGTTAAGTTAGCTGTTGTAGTTAACAGTGTTGACAAAGTTCAGATTTTCAACATGTAGCTACATTTTTTACTTACACTATTTAAGTCCTGACTCTACATTTAAAAAAAACTTATATCCATCTCTTGTTTTGTAGGACATACGTATCTCAGTAGTGTTTTAGTTTGACAAAAACAATAACTTATTTGCTAATTACAGTAAAGGGCAACAAGCAAACACTAATGTTAATTACTTTTATGTCAACTACTAAAAGCACTTTAAATACAGAAGTTCTGAAGTAATTCTTTGTAATTTACAGATGTATTAAAGACATACTGTTGTCAATAAGCTGAGTAATCATTCATACCTCACACTACAGTAACACATCCTCAGTTATGTGTCTGCTCCAGGTGCTGATAATTACCTGAGCGCCACACCTGGAAGGAACCAAACAGCTGGAACAGAGAGGGGTGTCTGTGTGGACCGGTCCGACTTAGATCACATTACCATACGGAAAAGTACTATTGACTTCCGGTTTTTATTAAGGTTAATTAAATTACTTACTGCAGCAAAAGAGATTTAACTATTAGATTAGATTAGATTAGATTACTTTATTGTCATTGTACAAGTACAAGGCAACGAAATGCAGTTTAGCATCTAACCAGAAGTGTAATAACAGCAGTGAAGAGTGAGCAGTATCTACAGTATGAACAGTCAGAACTAATTTACCGATGGATATGTACAATTGATATTTACAGTGAGATATGTAGGATAACTTACATTGTACAACAGATTATGGATTTAAATTACAAGTAATGGATAAGGTACATTAAGTTTATAAAATACTAGTGCAATGGGATGAAATGGAATGAAACAGTGCAGAATAAGAAGATAAGTTACATGAGTGAACACTTCAATGGATGTAAATAGTGCAAGGATAAAGATAAATATACAGTATCAGCATATGAACAATGTGCAAATGAATCTTCTTCTTCTTCTTCTTCTTCTTTCAGCTGTTCCTGTTAGGGGTCGCCACAGCGAATCATCTGTTTCCACCTAACTCTATCCTCAGCATCCTCTACTCTCACACCAGTTAACTTCATGTCCTCTTTTAGCACATCCATATATCTCCTCTTTGGCCTTCCTCTTGACCTCTTGCCTGGCAGCTCCATCTCCAACATCCTTCTACCAATATAACCACTATCCCTCCTTTGCACATCTCTGACCTTGTCCCTAAAACAGCCGACCTGAGCTGTCCCTCTGATGTGCTCATTCCCAATCCTGTCTATCCTGGTCCCTCCTAAAGAGAACCTCAACATCCTCATTTCTGCTACCTCCATCTCTGCCTCTTGTCTTTTCCTCACTGCTACAGTCTCTAACCCATACAGCATAGCTGGTCTCACTACTGTCTTGTACACCTTT